GCTTTTTATTGTTGTTGCTTTCTAAAAATGAGGATTATAATAATAACATAGATTGTGAATTGTACAAAAATATCCAGTCATTCCATTCCGTAAAGCTAATTCAGGTTATAGTTAGACAGCTCTCAAAGCAATTTATTCAGTACCAAATCTCCATTTTCTTTTTGTGCTCCACTTCTATTAAGTTATTTGTCTGATTCACCTCTACTGCTTTCAATAATATTCCTCCTTATCTAGTAAGTATAGAAAGTATATATATATATAAAAGGGAAATGTGTGTGGGGGGGAAGCATTCTTGACAACTGCACCAAGATGCTTTGCTTACAGTGTTTTATTGTGGCAGCCATGAACTCCTCCATAGTGGTAAACACCACACAAAACAAATCTTAAAATAATAACACTAGCAGTCTGAATACTGAGATGGCTTCATTAGATGAAGTTTCACCATAATAACTAATACCCATCAGGAATATTGTCATGGTTCCGACAAATAAAGCAGAACTCCAAAGGTTGGAAATTCCTCAAAGAACATGTTTATTGACACAAAGTATTGGTACGTCAAAAGTGAAACCAAGTCTGAATAGACACATAACAATCCTCAACACACAGTTAATAAATCCCACTCCTAAAGCTATGCAAGCTACTACGTTCTCCAATACATCTTCTTGGCAGGCTTTACACGAAACAGTCCCAGGAGCAGCTGATGACCTTGGTTCCCATGGGAGAAAATCTGTTTAGTCTAGCGAAGCAACTGGTTAAAAAAAAACCCTCCCCCTGTGCTATGTGTCAACGGAAAATGAATAGGGAAAATGGCTGCAGCCATGCTCATTTTCAAAGTTGATAAATATACTGTAGAATGGGGAAAAGAAGTCTGAACTAAAACAACTGAAATATGTGGACAAGGAATAGATCATATCTCGGTGAAAAGGAATTGATAGAGAGAAGTTAATCAAAATTAAGGATAATTTGATGTAGGCTTTTCATAACTTTCAAAGAAATTCAGGGAGATGGTTACTTCAACTAAGGGTTTGGCCTTAACTGAATTATTTCAATTTTCACAGGTTCTTAAAAACTATACTGTGATTAGGAGGGAAATTGCTTGAAACAAACAGCCCCCTGGTATAGGGTATGAGTAATTCACCATGAACTGCTGTTCATCCCTTGGCTGTTGGTCTAACATATGATAAACAATGACTTCTTTAATCACATCATATAAACCATAATTTTCAGCAGCCCAGGCTCAAATAGGACATATTATGTTTAGATCCAGGTACAGTTGGTATAGGACAGGGGTTCTCAACCTTGGCAACTTTAAGACTTGTGGACTTCAATTCCCAGAATTCCTCAGCCAGAATTCTGGGAGTTGAAGTCCACAAGTCTTAAAGTTGCCAAGGTTGAGAACCCCTGGTATAGGAGATTCATCCCTTGAACTTTTCAAATACCTATTCACTGTATACAGTAGCATTTCTCAACTTTGGCAAATTTAAGCTGTGTGGAATTCAACTTTCAGAATTCCTCAGCCAGCATTGCTGGGAGCTGAAGTCCACACAGCTTAAACTTGCCAAGGTTGAGGCACATTGGTATACAGATGCATCTGCCTTGGGTAAGATATAAGGGAATTAGAATGCTGCTTTTTAGTTTATGTTGCACATTGTTAAGTACCGTGATACAGTTTGCAGCAATTTACATTTAGCCAAATGTGTATATTGTCATATGTGCTGAAATATATATCTCAGTTTTCTACATCTTTCAATGTGCATTCTAAGAGAAAACCCTAACCCTATAATATTGTCTTGAGATACCTATTTTCAGATTTTTTTTTAACAAGAAGACAGATTATTTAGAAAAAGAATAGGATAAAATTGTGAATAAGGCTGCCCCAAACTGGCATAAAGTAGAATTGATCAGACAGCCCACTTTTTAAGAAAACATATTGGTCTACAACTTCCAGAACTCCACAGTGTCCATTTAGTTATTGTGATACACTGCATTGGAGTGCTCAAGTTGAGTGCTCTAGATCTAGATAATTTTCCGTAGATGAAACAAACTCCCTATTTGTTTATTTAAAAGTTTATATCATGTAAATTCAAAGGACTGCAGGCCAACAGAGCAGATGGGAACGCAGGAACAAGAATTGCTCTTCTTTTGCTAAGTGATTTTTTTCTTTTTTTTCCTTTTCTTTTAAAAAAAAAAGCCTTCCTGCAGGTTGAAAGATGATAGCTTTTATTGGATGCTCTAACTTAATGAACTCCTTTGTGGTAAAAGTAATTCAATAATGAATTGGGCTCCTAGTTTATCATCAAAAGCTTGCTAAAAAACAAGAGAGAAGAGAGAAAGAGAAACGGAATTCGACAACATGATTGTTTTATCTCATTTACTTTAATTGTATTACGAATACTGAAGAAACATTGTTAACACCAGTGCAGAATTTTCCCAGACTCAGGGAGCAAAAGCCAATAAGTTTCTACAGAGAGAATGCCGTACCACTGTTCATTGTAGGAATATCAATATTATTGAGTTTAGTCAGTGGATTTCAAATTGTTTCCCAAGGAACTGAATGGAATTTATCGGAAGCTTCTCAGTGAGTGAATCACTCATGTTGTGCTGTAACCAGCAAGAACTGATCCTCTTCAGATCTTGAACACACAAACACATACACAAACACACACACATACAAGCACACACACACACACTTTATTATATATAAAATCCTATCAGGTATTATAGACACCAGGCTACAGGAATGTCTGGGTTAGTACAGCTGTTAGCACAGCTCAGAAAGGCATTTGGGAACAACACCAGAGGCTCAAAGCAACAGTTGATTTAATAGAGCAGTAGACCAAGACTTAAGGTCTAAACAGATCAGTCTGAGCATAGCTTGGATTGACTGCAGGAAATTCTATGACTCAATGCCACACATATGGATATGTGAATGCCTAGCATTATATAAAGTCAACAGGACACTAAGAATCTTCCTCAAGAACTCAATGGGACTGTGGAAGACAACATTGGAATTCAATTTAAGACAGGTCGCATAAGTAACCATCAAATGTGGCATATACCAAGGTGATGCACTGTCCCTGCTGCTGTTTACCTAAGCCTGAACCCCCTTCAGTCAGATAATCACAAAGACTGTGACAGGAATACAAGTTCAAGAGTGGAACTACCATCAGCCATCTCCTTTACATGGACAACATTAAACTGTATGCAAAGAATTAATGAGACATCAACTCACTGATCCACCTGACACAGATCAACAATGAGGACATCAGGGTGTCATTTGGACTACAGAAATGTAGCCAGATGGTAATCAAGAGAGGGAAAGTAGTTAAGACTACTTAGTGATAGATGTAGAGATGCCAAATGACAGCAACATCAGGAATATGAGAATGTGGGAAATTACCAGGGGCAGAAGGAGAAACTGGAGAGGATGTGGAAAATCAAGGCCAAAATGGGTCTCAGTATTGACAGGAACACTTGGGGATATGATTCCTAAGCTAGGAGAGTCCCAGGAACAACATTACAGATCTCTATCCATAAGAGTACAGTGCTAGGAACGGCTAAGATCCTGCGCAGAACCTTCAAATTCCCAGTTCTGATAGAGGATCTGAGATTGAGGAAGACACAGACCAACCATAAGGGAGAGAAGGAAGGGATTTTTCCCTTGTAATGTAGAAAGTTGTTGGTGTACATTCTTTAGTAAACAATAAAATTATATAGTTTTTATTTCATCCCAGTAACATAGATATCCCTGATGCAGGTTTCAAAATATATATGTTCCTGAGAGAAACACTTTTTTAATAAAATTGTACTTTACAGGGAACTATTCTTAAAGACCACCCAGAATTTACAGCTGGCTCAAAATGTTGTGGCATAAGCAATAATAGGAGCCTTTTGGTATGCCCATATGTCTCTGCTACTATGCAGGCTGCGTTGGTTGACATTTGATTTCTCAGTGCCATTCAAGATGCTGGTTATTACCCATAAAGCCCAGTATGGCATAGGGACTGGGTATCTGAGGGACCATTTACTTCCAATCATTTATCCTGGCCGTTTCAGCCATTAAGAGTCGACAGCGAGATGGGTTGCATATAAATTTCATAAATAATAAATAATATAGCAATCTTATAGGACCAAGCGAATGGGCCTTCTCTGTTATGGCCACCACCCAGCATCCCCAAAAGATAAGAACTGCATTCCCCCAGAGATAAGGGTTCTGGAAATCTCTTTAAATTTGGCTTTCATCCCAGGGTTAATGGATTACTGCATTTTTGCTGTTCCTGTTTTGTTTAACATGTTGCTTTTAAAATCTCTTTAGTCCAGGCTGTCTGTGTGGTTTTATGTTTTATCTATTTTTGTGGATTTATTTTTTGTCTGGTATGCTATCCAGAGTCTATTGCAGTTGGGCAGCTTTTAACAAATTTGAATAAATAAATAAAAATAAACAAATGTAGCTATCCCTTTTGGTGTTCAGCTTCATCAGACATACATTCTTTTTCCTAGGCATATCTAGCAAATGTGAATGTTTTCTCCATTTTGATCAGAGAAAGAGGGATGCTAGCAAATTCTGTAGTGCTGCCATTTGTTTTCTTAGATGTTACAAATTTATATCATCTGAAAGATTTTTTAAAAGCCATGGTCTAAAACCAGGTATTGATTGAATTCACATATTGCAACACAGTTTATTGAATATATTACAATGGGCTGGGTTCATTTGTAGCCTTAAAACATGATTTATAAATAATAACAGATGGTTCGTGCAATGCTTTAAACTAAAATGAAATAAGGAGTATTTTTTGCTTAGCTCAATATGCAATCATATCCAATGAATTGATTCAGGTTTTTTTCAAATAACAGATGGATACAGTTCTATCCAAAAGTTACCAACAGCATTTGTTGATTTTGTTTTTTAATCAGCCACTTTTATTACAGAAAATTTCAACTTATAAGCAGCAAAGATATTTGTCATTTTTAAAAAAAAGTTTAAAAATATCTGTCTTGTCTTAAAAAATATATTTCTTTTAAAAAGTGCTGAAATGTTTATCAATTCTTGCTAAATAAAATGTTGCTCTTTTGGATGAGTGCCTATCTTTTAGCCCTAAAATTACACATGTGATTTGGATCTGAATTCCTTAACTTTGGAGCAAAATAAGAATTTTAAAAATATTTCTAAATTGTCCATATTTCCAGGAAAATAACAAAACTAATAAAACAAAATGTTAAATGTTCTAATAATTGTTGCCACCACTTCCATTAGAAGAGAAATAAGGATTTGACCTGACAGGAGCAGCTGTGGTAGATGTGAACCTGAGGATAAAAGAATGAATTTTAAATAGTAATTTATTGAATAATTAGCAGAATTATTGTTAGTGTATATACAGACCCCATTATGAAACTTTATTGAATAATCTCCTTTAATATTTAATAGTATTCTTATTAGTACTATGTAAAATATAAATAAAATAGAAAATGAAATGATAAATTATTATACAAATTAATAAATTATTAAATGAAAACTATTACTAGTAAATAAAAACTACAGGTAGTCCTTGAACTATGACCTGTCATTTAACAACTGCTCAAAGTTATGACAGACCATCCCAAAGCTACATACAACCCTGCTTCAAAGTTATGATGACTGTAGGCCCTCTTTATGACCAACCACAAGAATGCTGCAGAGCCCCCTATCTCTCTCCCCCCATCCCAACCCACTGAGACCCTGTAGTGCCTATCTTAACAAAGTCTGCACAAGTCTACTTTCTGCAATGTTCAGCAGCTTCTGCAATCCTGTGCAAACATCATTAGGGAGTGAAAAGGAGCACTTTGTACTCGGTCCACACGTTGATGACCCGAACACAGTTGCCATTTCGTTGTTGGAACCAAATGGTGGCTGCTTCTGGAATTGCACCATTTGGCCATGCAGAGAAGCAATCCATTCCAACACTCTGGGAGGCCTCAGAGCTTTTCAAATAGTAAAGGAGGAGGAGGGTGTTTGCCCTGCTGGGGTGGGAGGACTTGGTGAGAGTGGGAAATGGGCTGTGGGTACTCAAGGGGCAGAAAGCAGAGCACAGGGCATCTCAGGGGGCGGGGAAAGCTTTGTGAGAACCAGGACAGGTGATCCTGCACCTGTGCTCAGCCTCCAAGGGCCTTCACACACACAAACACACACATACACACACACCAAGCCATCCTACACTCCAGTTAATGGCACACACATCTTTTAACAATTCACTGAGAAGAGCAGGGATGGGGGAGGGTGTTAGGTGAGATGTTTTACCTAACAACTGTTGCAATATGTGACCATAATGGCAGATTCTATTGCAGTCATACCTGTAATAATAATAGTTTCTGTTGGTACTAATAATATTGCTAGTATTAGTACTTTACATAGTGTAAAATCAGCAATTTTAAAGCTATGTTTGGTTGAAGAAACCACAGTGGCCTTGTATACATATTGTAATGACAAATAATGGTTGAATGTAAATATCACGTTTTTTAAAAAAGAATATCTTATTATGGTTTACTAAGAGAATTAGATCAGGTTTTGGATCAGAATGAGGGGGAAAAGTCATGTTTTAGAAGGAACTCCCAGGCTGGTGGAAAGAGCAGAAGGAATAGAAAGTGACTGAGACATTTAAGGAAATAAAACCAATTAGTATTCCTGGATACTAATAGCCAATAGCCCTTCCAGAGTGTTTTTAGAAGGCTGTTTTGGAATGATAACTAGGATATAGAGCCACATCTACTTCTTACAACATTTTTGGGTTGTGTATAACAGTAAGGTCATCTCTGCAATATTATGAGTTTAAGAGCAGACAATTCCTGTGGGATCTGCATCCACCTCTTCTTTGCCCTATTTAGTTAGATCAATTGCCAACATGATCTTGGGCCAAGAAACACCCAATTTAGAGAGGGCAAGTTATTTTCTGCATGAAATAGGAAACAGAATCAGGGTCATTTCTTCCCCCCACCACCCCGCCCCCACATGCACACTTTTTTCCCCTCTGATCTTTTTTCCTATTTTTTCTCCCTGTACTTTCCTATTTGTAATCTTCTCTTATTTTTGGAGTGCTTTTTAAGGAAAAAGAAAGGGGATTTGTAATGCAAAGTAGGTGGTTTCTTTCCTTCTCATTTTTAAAAACTGCCAACTCATCAGCACTACTACTATTGCAATTCTTATTATTCTCTACCTGAAAATTTATCTGAAAGGGAAAGGATAGCGGCAACAACCCAAAGAACTCCATTGCTACTACAGTGACCTTGAAAAAAGCCATAAAGGAAGTTCCTCCTTGTTTCTTCATAAACCCCCTTCACGATCTCCCAAAATCTTTTATTGAAGGTGAAGAAATCCCAAATCCTGCTTCCCTCTCTTTGAAAAGGGATAAAGTACCTATACACAACCATTCTCTCAATTTCAGAATCTATCTTCCATCCCAACTGAATAAATTTCAAACTTGAGTGAAAGGTAGCAGTCCCTATACTGATCAAAATGACCCTGACATGTTCATACTAATACTACAAAAGCTGGATAATGATTGGATGGGGGAAATTGCCAGTCAAAGATTGGCTGGATTATATTCCAATCAGAGGAAAAAGCTGGAGAGGGGAAATTGGGAAGTGCTGGTGGAAGGTTCAGTCAAAACAGTGTTTCTCAACCTTGGCAGATTTCAGATATGTGGACTCCAACTCCCAGAATCCCCCAGCCAGCCCAGAGGAATGCTCAACATACTAGCTGGGGAATTATATGACCATATCATGTTGGGGAAACATGTTTAAGAATAAATTTAGGACCCGAATAGGCTACAATTGATGAGTTATAGATAACGTTTAGAAATAAGTAAATCTGTTTTAAATCCCATTTTGAGTTACTTATGTTATAAAAATCTGGGATTTTTTTTTTTGTTTGTTTGTTTGCTATGTCAATTTTCCCTATGTTCCACAAAGTTACATTCCCCTTAATGGTTAAAATAATTTGTAAACTGTCAAAAGGTTTTAGTGGTAATAGCAAAACAAATTGATAACTAAGGACACTCTCCTTAGTTACACATGCACACAAATACATTAAAGGAGGAAGTGTGGTAGGCTGCCTACCCATAAGAAGCAGAAAATGGATACTGAGGCCCATCCCCTGCCATTGCTGGAGGATCACGAACACTACTAGAAGCTTTGGTTGGATTCCTTTGCTGATAAGAATAACCAGGTTGAACCAAAGGGATGTAGCTAAGGACAGGTGTGTAAGGTGAGCGGAAGATTTGTTGTGGGTTATAAGGAGTTACCTGTAGAACAGGAAGAAAAAAATACGATGTAATGGCTGTGTCTATGAATGTAGAAAGATTCCCATTTGATCTGGCCTATCATCCACCCACTCATCTATTTATTTATTTGACCACCCCCTCACAATATGTGACTCTGAAATACTACCCTAAAGAAAAGCAAATAAAATAAATCCCCCTAAGAGTAAAAAAAAACAACAACCTCTCAACAACATCCAAAATATAATCAACATGCAAGTGAGACTGGGGATGAAAACTGCTAGAAACATCACAAAACAGGCTTACCTGCCATCCTTTTCCAGCTTGAAAGGATTAGCCAGAGACATCACCGTTACCCAAGAGACTCCTGAGGAGGCTCCTTTCATGTAATAACAATAATAATAAAGCTGGAAGGGACCTTGGAGGTCATCTGGTCCAACCCTCTGCTCAGGCAGGAAACCCTATACCATTTCAAACAAATGGCTGTTCTTAAAAACTTCCAGTGTTGGCACATTCACCACTTCTGGAGGCAGGTTGTTCCACTGGTTAATTGTTCTAACTGTCAGGAAGTTTCTCCTTATGTCATTGGCATTTTCCCACTTAAGAGCCGAGGTGGCGCAGCAGTTAGAGTGCAGTACTGCAGGCCACTTTAGCTGACTGTGTTCAGCAGGTCAGCGGTTCAAATCTCACCGGCTCAAGGTTGACTCAGCCTTCCATCCTTCCGAGGTAGGTAAAATGAGGACCCAGATTGTTGGGGGCAATGCAAATATATATATACATTGCTTACTGGTGTACACCGCTTAGAGAGTGCTTGCACTTAAAGTGGTATATAAGTCTCATAAAATAAAAAATAAAATAAATAAGTGGTACCTATTTATCTACTTGCATTTACATGCTTTCAAACTGCTAGATGGGCAGGACAGAGAAGTCACTCACCCTCTAGGTCCCATTAGGTGGCATTATTTCAAACAGGGGACTTGGCGGATACCTACCCTATGCGACTTTGTGGAACAGGCAGAAATATCCTTTACATCCTAACCATACATTTCATGGTATGGGAAGCATACATTTCATCCCCAAAATAACAACCTTGAAATGCAGGATGGGCTAACAGAGGCAGACAAACTCGAAAGCACAGGTGTCAAACTCTCGACGTCACGTGACGTGTCGCGACGTATTGCAACTTTTTCCCCATTGCCGGCAATGGGGTGGGCGCGGTTTTAGTGTGACGCATCCGGCCCACGGGCCAGCAGTTTCACACCCCTGCTCTAAAGTGACCCAGCAATCTCCACATCAAATAGAGACTTGAATATGAGTGTCTACTTATCCCAGAGCTATAATTGCACTCAACAATGAACTAAAGGGCCACCATCAGTGAATTGTTGGACAGTATTACTTGGTCTGTTGTGTGGATGTTTGGATGGTCTTAGGGGTGCGGAATTGTGGTGGGTGGGAGTGTGTTTGGGGATTATGTGTGTGGGATCTGGTCTTTGCGTGTCAAGTAAATTTTGTTGTATGTGTACACTGTGTATACACATACAATGACATTAAAGTTTGTTTGTTTGTTTGTTCTACTTCCTTCTCTTTTCCCTTTGTCCTCAAAGCAATTGGGGAATTTTAGAATTCTCAAGTGAAAAGAATATAAAATAAAATGTTTTCTGGGTGAGTTTGTGCTCCTTTTACCACTAAATACATGGAGAAACTACAGTTAAGCCTGGGAAGAAACGTCCCAGTTTTACAACCATAAGAGGAAAATAGAAAGATCCAGGGGCATCAACTGAAGATACACAAATCAGTCTATATCTCGTCCAAATGCAGTTACCAACTTCTTTGCATTATTCTTCTCAATCAAAACTTTCTCTTTGGGGGGGGGGAGAGGGGGAGGCTGTATGAAACTGTGCCTTTGCCATTTGCAATTTAATGAAAGTTACACTTTTATATGGATGCTGTGTTGAAAGTTGCCTTGCTTTTCAATTTTATTTCCCTGTGAAGAGCTTCTGTTTTACAACTCCAGCCTCAGAAGTCTCTCAGGCTGCCTACATTTCCCAGCTTGGAAACACACGCACGCACATCCCTGCCACCACCACCCCGTTGCAAGGAGGACTTCCCCCCAAAAAAATTCAGTCGTTTTTCCTTTAAAAATCATTTATAAATCAAATTTCCTTTCATCAAATTAAAATAATTTTTTGGGGGGAAATACACAGGTTGCCCAAGATCTATGTGCAAATTATTGAGGTTGAAGGTTTCATTTCCATTTCAGGAACAAAGCCATCCAGAGCCATGTCTTTGAGGTAGGAAGCCATAATAAATGCTTAATTATTTGGAATTCTTAAATCCAGGGAGAAATTTAACTTAGCACTTATTTCACTGTTGCCACAAGCCTTCACTTGTGTCCCTAATTCTCAGGTTAGTACTTAGAAAATCTACCAGGAGCATATGGATGGAAATATATTGAAAAAGAAAATGAACTAAAAAAAATTGAACCATAGTACAATTCCTGCATATATTAATTAAGATATATGCAACTCATCTTTCCGGATTCTGAAAAATAATACGCATTTCCAAACAGCTCATATATTATCCCTCTTTCATATATTTGGGAGATCTAGACTAAGTTGTTAGCTTTTTTAGGAATGGTAAAAGTGACCCAATCTTACATCCTTGCCTTTAAAGTTATAGTTTACTTAATGTAATTATTTAATTTATTCCCATCTTTCTTGAGAAGCCCTAACTTCATGGTTTAGGGTTGATTATGCAGAGTGTTTTATGAAAGGCCATATATCTACAGATTCAAAACCTGAAAAAGCAATTCCTTTTGGCAGAGGAAAAAGTCAGATCAAATTGGTGACTATTGCATTCATCGATACATTCATATATTTTTCTTAGCAGCAATAGGGGAGTAGATTGGCATTATAATGTTTATTTTCTGATTTCCCAGTCTAGTTCCCTGTATAACGTTGGGATTTTCAGTGATCAGCCATTCAGATATTAAACAGGTCAGACCCTGCTTATCTCACACCTGGGTTTCTTAAGAAAGTAGCAATTTTCTTTTATTGAATTAAAGAAATCCCTAAGCAAGCAGAAATAGAGCAGATTTCTAAAGATCTAGAAGATGTAAGCAATTCAAATTATCAGTTGGTTGCAGGAAAACAAACAAACAAAAAATGATAGGGAGATATATTAATATATTTCAGTCTGCAATAGCTGAATGGAACATTGGGATATTGCAGATTTTGGGAAGGGGCAGAAATAAAAGAGCTGTGTTGTAATATTTTCTAAGTAGTTCTCATTTATACTGTATAACTCACTGCTTTAAACTGATTGTCCCAAGATGCTGTATGCATCACAGGAATGGCTGGATGGTTCTTTAATGAGGCATACTCCAAGTACAGGGCGAGCCTTCTTACGTCTCTAGGGATTTACTGCCAATGTCCCTCTTCAATTAAAAGATGGAGGTTGAGTAAGATAGAATAGCTCAAAGCCACAGAGATCTTCTCAGATTTACAGTCCCTCCCTCAATTTATGCTACAGGTGACTTACAGAACTTCCACCGTACCTGTCTGGAATAGCACCCTAGTTGAGGATGTAAAGTTTGCTGATACGGGATCCGTGCCCTTTGCTGATACAAACTCTGTTCAAAATGAAGAAGAGAAAAACCATTTATAATATGTAATGTTCTGAAATTCCCAATCAGAATGCAGTATAATAAACAAAGGAGTAAATAAAGAAGAAACTATTAAGATGATTCTTCAAACATTAGAACAAACCAATCCAATAAAACCAAAAATAATTTAGACTGCCGACCTAGGAACTGTAGAATAATTTAGAATTCCCCCTCCCAGCTCACAGAGTGATAGCAGTCCTCAAAGAGAAAGCTGAAAAATCCCCCTCCATTCTCTAAAACCAGTTTTCCAACTACTGGAAAATGAATCAAGGGAAAAAGAGACAGAACGAGTTCAATGGGGCATCATAAACAATACTAACCCTCCACCTCATCTTCATTCTGGGGGAATTTAGACAAGCCCTTGAGCAGTTATAAATCATTTCCTTTCCATTGCTGACAATGTGAGAGATTTTTATTAAAAGAATACCTAGAGAAGGAGCACTGGGAGAGATTTTTCACTATGGGGCCTTAGAAATCTATGGGATTTTCTTTCATTTTGACACGAATTTCAAATGCAGGCAACCACAACTACGGTCACAAAAACAATTTACAGAGAGCAATATAACAAAATCACCCACAGAAGTAAGAACTACTTTCTGTAATGAAGAATAAAATAATATGACTTAGTATAAAAAGAGTTACATTGTGAGAAAGAAGAGACATCTTTAATCATTTTGTTTTCGTGCCCTTCAAAAGTAAACTAACAACCTCCAAAAATGAACTCACTGTCAGTGGTCTGCAGTGGTACCAATTAAAAATTGCTCTAGCCAATGAATCAAAAGTTGATTCGTGTATAAAAAAATTATACCATGGGAGCAGACACTATGGCATCTGATTATTGGGATTGTGAAATCCCTGCAAGAAGCAGATTTATAACATTGAAATGAAACAAATATTCTGTGTGTCACTGTCTCCTCTTCATAGGGAGGACATTTCCCATGGTGAGGTGCAAGTCAAGATATCTTCATATTGACTTGACTTCTCCTCCCTTCAGACAAGATAAGCAGATTTTTAGACAACATAAAAGTGATTTATTATTGCTTTCTTTTACTGTGTTGTTTTGATTTCTTAGAATTTTCTGGAGGTTACCTGAACCTACCTAGCCTTTGATACCAGATGCAGTAGGCCGGATGCTGGCTTTAACCTATAAAGTAATATATAGTCTAATACCTTGGTATCTTCAGGACCCCTTGCCTTAGCAATTATATTTGACCTATTAGCAGTGTTTTTCCCAGAAAAAAACTGTTGGTAGTGTCCTATTCCTGGCAAATGCAGACAGGAGATGCTGAGACCTGGAGGTTTCTCCACAATGGTCTGGGAATGCTCCTCATTCTTAACATAAGCAGTACTCTACTGCATTGGACACCTAGCCTATCTGGTATGGTAGTCTATTCTCACAATGGCCAAGCAAGTGTATAAGAAAGAAAATTGCTTGAATATTTCTGATGGCATGGCAGAAAATTGGGATTGCTCCTAACAACCTCAATTTTCATCACCCTGTCTTGTGCTTCCATCTTTAATATTCCTTATTTGGAAATGTTTTTAGGGTTGCAGCTCTTTAATATCTGAAGCAGCCAGCTGCAATTGGGAAGAGTGAAGTGGGATCCAGAATTAAATTGGCCCATCCTCAGTAAAAACCGTATCAAGAATAGTAGTTAACCAGTTCTTTAATCCCTGATCTGATCTCCCAGAAGCAGAAGATTCTATCCATAATAATTGAAATTAATATCATGAGTATTGATGTTACTGTAACTTAGTGCAAAGTAATCTATAACCTACTGAAGGCATGTAAGAAATCATACAACCTTCTTTTGTGGAAGGTCCATTTCCATTTGCTTCCTATTGTATGTATCTGAACAAAGGTTTTAGATTGTAGCTAAATTAAGCTATTCTCTTGCATCAGGCAGCATATGCTGTACACTGATGACATCATCATCATCATCATCATCATCTGTAAGTATCTCCCAAGAATAGCATAAAATAATGCCATCATTTAGCAGAATTTTGCTAAACTAAACTTATGCTACTCTCTCCTTAATGGATATACCCTCTGAGTAGTTATCCTAACTCTCTTGCTCTGTCTCTGCTAAATACAGGACTCTAATTATAGAATTTAAGAAGATTGTCCTGCTATATACAATTCATCCCCATTGGTCTTCCAGAAGATCCATGTTTCCACCTATTTCAAGAAGGTCATGAGTGTTAGAGCCATCTGTGCTTCAGGGGACAAGCTATTTTAGAGAAAAGATTATATATGGCTTATCTTGCTACTGAAAAAATCCTTAATTTTCTTGTGCTTCTAGAATGCCAATAATGCTGATTCCTCTTCTACTTTCCTTCCTTCCAGCTCCGTACAGACACACTTACTGGTTCCTTAGAAATAACTCTACAATAAGTATATGTGCCACTGTTACCTGATACTGAGGAAAACTTGAGTGGTTGGGAAAAACAGTAGGTGGAGGGTAGTTCAAACTCAGCCACATTGGTTGCTTCAATGAGGTAGTAGTTGAAGTTGTTGGAAATCGTGGGGTAAACACATTCCCGCTGTATTTAAGGTTGTTCTTATCGATAGCTGTTGAAGTTGCTGTGAAAGATACAAGATAGTGTCATATCCAGATTCTTGTTTTAGTTTATTTTTCTAAATTGTATACAGCAGTGTATTTGCAATGCAGATATGTTTTGAAAACCAAGTAACAACTGTTTTCATCTTATATTGATCTCTTTAGAAGAAAGCTCCTATGAGATACTATGGAATTTACTCCCAGGAGATTGCACATAGGCTTGCAAACTAAAGATGTTCTTTCCTCCATTCTTGAGGACAGAAGCTGCCTACTTCCTCTACACTAGTTGCCTTAGGACCTAGACTTTCTCCAGAACTTTCTCCAGAACACATGCATTCTTCTCTTCTGCATGATTCCTGCAATTTTGAACTGCCCCTTCATCCTTCCCATGACAAACTAACAGATTTGATCACTTCTATACTCACTTCCTACATTCATCTATACTATGGAACATAAGGCAGAACAAAAGCACAGAGTGCACCTTACATTTCTGGTTCCCATTAAAATGCCAGCAGGAGCTTCATGCCCAAATAAAAAGAAGCCACTAACTTGATCCATCTCTAGGAGGCCTCAGTGCACACCAAGGTGTCATGCTTTTCTGGAAATGTAGCTTTCTTTCCTGAAGTAGATGTGAACTTCATCTTTTCTTACCAGACTCACTTCCCTTGAGCTAGCTCTAAATGCTATCAAACCAATGTTGTAAACCCTCAATTTGCATGAACCAGTCCTAATTCATTATGTAATATTCCTATTATGATGATGCCCTCCCTTTAATTGTGAATTCTCCCACTGTGGAGGTCAACATAGTCATGGACAGGAACATCTGTTTTGATACAGGCCAGATTTTTTTTTTTAAAGAAAGCTTTTGTTGTAGAATAAACCCTGCAATATATTTTTTATTTCCAAGAAAAGATTTGGGTCCCACAGACTTTTCTGGAAAACTAAAATGCTGGACAGCCACAATTCTAGCTTTTATCTGGAAGAGTATCTGTCTATTCCAATGAACAAACAGTCCATTGAGATGGTAGGGCTAAAAAGCATCTTGGAGTGACAGGAGAAATTTCACCTATTTGTCTTTGGATAAATTAGATGATGACAGGTATTTTTTGAATAGGCACTCCTCCTGAAATCATTTTGTTTGAGTGCACATGGCATGCTCTCAAAATTCCAAATGTTCTTACTAGCCAAAATGGTTGGGAATTTCTGTTTTAACTCCTTTGTTGTAGATAAAGGTTATCTTTGTAGTCAATGTTGTATCCAGGATAACTGATAATCTGAACTCTGGTGAAAGACGACAGATCTCTAGTGCAGAAGATAAAATACTTTCTAGCAGGAATAACATATAAGTATCTTTACATGTTGGAAAGTGCAAGGAAATCTTAGAACCACAGAATGTTTCACATTTTCTATGGTTGATCTTTCTCCTTTTTATCAGGGACCACAACAGCCTTATCACTAGTTCACTCAGAAACCACAAATAAGAGGTTGAAAAGTTCTTCAGTGTAGGAACTTGGAGGATGAGTTGAATTTTAAGGGGGGAAAAAATATGTTACAGAAATTCCTGCAATTTTATTCAACCTTCTTTCAACAGACTATGTTAAAGAAACTCTGGAACTGCATTGCTTTCTGTAACAATATAGCCAAAGCATGTCAATCAATAAGACCTTTCTGGGTATAAAAATACTGTAGGATATAAAAAGCATGTAAGAAAGCTAATGGTAGGTTTTTATGAATGCCTCCAACAGACTAGAATAAAAAAAATCTACTGGCACTAATAAAACCAGCATGGAACTAGAAGGAAAATTGGATCCCCTTTTAAAATATTTGACCAACTAAAGAACACCATCAGCAAAGGCCCTGAGAACAGCTGCTGAAGATCATGAGGTTTGAGAACCCAAAGAATACTTGAAAATAGAATCATTCCTAGACTGTGAAATTTAAACGTGAAAAGCCATGGAGATGGCCTTGAGGCCATTACAAAAGTGGCCTTCAGAAGCTATTATAAAAATAAAAAAGCAGAAGCCCAAGGAAAAGAGGTAGCATTAGGAAGAGACCAAGACCAGATCCTCCATGATTCACTGGAGTATAAACAGGAGGGGAGTAAAAACAGGCAAACTTGCATAATTTTGTTATTATAACATATCACATTAACATTTAGTGGGTACTTTTCTTGTGGAATCTGCTTCCCAATATGGAAAACTTTAAAAGATTGTCTCTGACTTGCTAAATTCTCCCCAGGAAAGTGGATAGATGGTGGAAGATATCAGTTGGATATGCTGATATGATGCTCCTGGGATGATGACATCCTGTTAACTACAGGTTATGATGCAAATCCTAATATGATAATAGCCATCAAACAACTATGAGTACTATATTGCAAGATGACTTAATTTTCAAAACACTTTTGAAATAATAAAAAAAAAAGGTTAGACTAAAAATAAATAGAACTGACTTCTCCTGAAATATAAGTGATTCTGTTTGGAGCCCATGTACTTAGGGAAAAAAATTCCTGAAACAAGGCAAATCTTGCATAGTAGATTAGGAATGAAATACTCTAATTTAAGCAAGCACTATTTCTGGATTATCTAAAAAAGAAGAACTCTAAATACATTTCTGTAAGTGGCAGGGGGAAACTCCTCATATGGGAGCTTTTCAATATCAAGCCTTAAAATAAATGTGCTTAAAACATTTGGAAATTCTTTCCCAAAAGAGTGTCAGGAAAAACAGTAGGTATATCAAGTTGGTAAGGTTTAATATTCTGATATCCACAAAGAACTTGGATTTCTCAAAGAAAATCAAGCTGACTCAGCTGACAACTTCTCTAGTTTGGAGAATCAAGTTCAACTTGTTCCTAAAATCTCAATTTTAAATTGTCCTACATGGAATGGATAGGTGGCAGGTCAAATCCTTCCCCTCCAAACCATGAAATATAAAATGTTTATGCTTCGCTTTAATGATGAGGCTTGTAAAATTTCCCCAAATATGAAAAGTTGCCAAGGAAAAAATGGTAAAGTAACATTAGTGCTTCTAGTTAGTTGATAGAATCTCAGGACAAATACATTTAGCCTGATTATCATAGTTGACAAGACATAAGTAACAAAATTGCAACAACAATACATCTGACTCCCAGCAGCTTTTCATCCAGGGTCTAAGTTTGAAGCTGCCAGTTCTGGAAAAGACTTATGTAAATTCTGAAAAAAAAACCACCCTCATGATATTTTATTCAAAAAGTTCTTGGCCAGGCCCTGAAATTCTATGAAAATAAAAATTGCATGACCAATGCCAGTGGAGGTATAGTATCATTTACATAGTTCTAAACAGGACTGCATGCTACAGATTGTTTGTCCAAACAACTCCTACAATAGATTGATATTATATATTTTTAAATAAGATACACTTTTGTTCCTGGGTTGGAAAAAGAAAGCAGCATCAAAAGCCAGATTGCACCTCTCATGCTAAGGCTGCAATAACAACAACAAAAAAAGGCGGGAAAATTCCTTGCTTTCTCTTATTCCTGAGGAGAATATTCAGTGTTCTCTAAATACTTTATTTCTTGGAAGGTACTTTTAGTCTTCCAGCAGATGGATTGCTTGCTGGAAGACAAAAAAAAAATATTCCAAAATTACTTTAATTAAATGTCATGGCCTGAGGAGATGGCTGAGGGATTCCCAAGAGGGAGACATTTTAGGCAGCCAATTAGGATTATAAAATTCCTCATGTCCTCATCCAGCAGCATTGTGTTAAAATCATATATTGTCTGTAGAGTCCCCAGGTCTGTGGATCACACAACATGGTACATATTTCTAAGGTGAAATTTGATACAGTGATTCTATATTAACACTAGCATGTGTTCTTGAAAACAATTTTTGAAACATTTTATTCTGCCTAGTGTTAATCTTTTAATTATTTATTTGTTTTATAACAAATAAGCTGCCCAGAGTAACCTTTAGGGGAGATGGGTGGCCTAAAAATTTAATAAATAAATACATAAAATAAAGGCAGTTTGCTAGAAAGGTATTGCAACTGAAAATCCAGTTTTTCTGATATGGGGAAAAATTAATTTCATGTGCACAGAAGCCTAAAAACATTGCTTTGCAATGTTTCCTATGCAATTTTTTTTTGTCACAGACACGGAAAGTGAACCAGTTAGCATGTCCTCCTTTCCAATTATCCACATCCTTATATACTTGTTCAGATAAAATGGTAATTCAACCTCCCTTTACTATATTATTCACCAAGGCAAAGATTCAGTTTGGAGATGATCAGACTGATTTCCCAAACTGGATTGATGAGGTAAATCAGAGGTGTCCACAGAGAAGGGTGTCACAAATATTAAGATGAATGCCATAGCCATGTGGTTGAAACCCCTAAACCTATCTATCTATCTATCTATCTATCTATCTATCTATCTATCTATCTATCTATCTATCTATCTATCTATCTAATTTACATGGCTGCCCAATTCATAGTGATTTCAGGTGGCTTATAGAAATAAGGTGCATGTCAGACAATGATTGTGGTGGCTAATAGTAAACTAGAAGCCATTATGGACTTTCTGAAAGTGGAATACAATAATAGATAGAGAGGTTTGAAGTTTAATTTTGCTGTTGGTTTTACCTATGTTTATATACACAATCATACATACAATTGTAAGGGATGTCAATTTAGAAAAGGGTGTGGAGATTTTGAAAGAGGTCAGGTGTCTGCCAGGTGCTACAAGAGGTGTATTTTAAAGATAGTCAAGAATGCCAGTAAGATAAGATAAGATGAGATGAGATGAGATGAGATAGATAAGATAAGATGATAAGATAAGATAAGATAAGATAAACTTTATTGTCATTTTTTTTTACTGTGGGCACAACGGCAAACATCAAAAATGAAATTTAGTTGTCCGCTCTCAAAGTGAAACACATACATGACACACACCTAAAACATACTATGTACAACATATGTATAGACCTGTGATGTTGATGCTGTTGTACATTTTGGCACAAACGATCTGTCACAAAAAGATGTACTCTCTGTGCAGAATGATTTCCAGAGCTTGGACAAGAACTTAGTAGGATAGGCTGTAGGCTTACATTTTCAGAGGTTTTACTTGTATATAAGGAACAAAAAGGAAAAGGCCAGCATATACTTGAATTCAAAGTGTGTCTAAAGGAGTGGTGTAAAGCGGAAGACTTTGGTTATATTAGTCACAATGTCTGCAGCTGGTCCGAGGAAAAACTATATAAAAGAGATGGTTTGCATCCATCAAAGAAAGGGAATGAGTTACTTGGCATTAAGTTCATGGTTTTTCTGGAGAAACATTTTAACTAAACAATGGGGACAGAGAGTTAATTGATACAGAAAATTTCTGTCCCCAGCAATCTAAAACTAATAGGGTTATTAATGCTTGTAACAGATGTTTGTGGGGGTAAGAATATCAACATTGCTGTCAAGGAAAATCAAGTTTTGATTTGCACTAACTAAACAGATGGTAAGGAAGTAGGAGAATTCAGGCACAAAACAGGTTATGTAGAAAATAAACACAGGGTCAGTCAAAAAGGACTCAAATGTCTATACACCAATGCACAGAGTATGAGGAATAAACAGGGTGGATTAGAAACTTAAGTAAGGGCAGATATGATATTGTTGCCATTATGGAAACTTGGTGGGATGAAACCCATAAATGGAATATACAGAGGGATTTAAATTATTTAAAAGACACAGCAAATAAAAAAGATGTTGAGATTCTAGAAAGAGTGCAGAGAAAAATAACAAAGATGATTAGGGGACTGGAGGCTAAAACATATAAAGAACAATTGCTGGAATTGGGTATGTCTAGTTTAATGAAAAACAGGACTGGGGTGAAATGATAGCAGTGTTCCAATATCTCAAGGTTTGCCACAAAGAAGAGGGAGTCAAGCTCTTCTTCATAGCACCTGGAGGCAGAACAAGAAGCAGTGGATGGAAACTAATCAAAGAGAGAAGCAGCCTAGAACTAAGGAGAAATTTCTTGACAATTAATCAGTGGAACAACTTGTGAATGCTCCCACACTGGAAGTTCTTAAGAAGAGATTAGACAAACGTTTGTCTGAAATGATATAGGGGTTCCTGCCTGAACAGGGGGATGGATTAGAAGACCTCCAAGGTCCCTTCCAATTTTGTTATTCTATTTTGTTACACACACATACACACACATAAAAAAGACAGATGTCAGGTCAAGTGAGTTGGGTAAACAGCGTTGCAGAAATTTTTAAATTGTGTGCCTGCTTGCAAGAGAAGCATTATTATCTTTGAAATATAGTTATCAGTATTCAACTGGGGGACAATTTATGTTACTTTTTTTTCTTTTTATGCACATATTTTCTCTTTGTGTAATGTTGTCTGTTTTGTTTTTCTTTTGTATTTTTTTCTTTTTCCTTTTTTTTGCATCTGTATTTCAGATTATTTTGAATAAAAATAAGAATTTATACCAAAGAGAGGGGGGGAGAAATAAGGTGCATATTTTATATGTACATAAAAGGGGTGGGGCTTCAACTGCATGGCTGTGGCTGCCATCTTGAACTTTGTCACCTCTTCCTGATGTGAATCATCAAATTGAAGGGAAGCCTTCAATTTGAACACTAATCTGCATACAATGAATGTTTGGGAGTTAGGGATTGCATTGTTTCTTCTGCTTTATCAGTTCTCCCAATGTTGAGGGACAATATTGAGAGAAAGGAAAATTAATACATTTGGTACCACCTTTGGTGACAGGCAGCTGCTCTCTGGAGCTTAAGGTACTCAGTATTTTTAACTGACAATTACAATTTGATGACTCCTTCATGTCAAATTGATTCCTCTGCACAAGAGAACTTAATAGTCCTCACATTGGTGACTTCAAAAAAAAAGAGAAGAACAGAGGAAATTTTAGTGGTGGTGAATTTGCCTTATGTGCTTCTCCTAGTTCAGCCTTCCATAATTGACACTAACACCTGGCTATTTAGTGGGAGGACTTTTGCATTAAGCATTCCTGCCTGTCTCCAGTAGTTCAAGTCCCAAGATGGCTGCTCTGCTGTGCTAGGCTGAATTTAGGTACCTTGGCTGAATTCACACGAAAGCTCCCAAACTGCCCTTATCTGGACAATACCCTGAATTAGGTTGGTTGCAAACCTTGCAGCAGCATTTATACAACAGCTGAACTTGAATATTTTGAACTTTCATTTGTTTTTATCTTGTTTTATGAGTAGTTTGTTGATTAAGTATCTTTGTAAAAGCAACCTCTCTCTTAAAGAAAGTTGTGTGCCAAGTTTGAGTTCAGACCAGAGCACAACTTGCAAAGCTAGTAGTGTGGGAACCCATAAAATCTTTTAGCTCAGTTCTAAAAGTAAAAGGTATGCACTGGCTTTGTTATTATGAGGGAGAATGGATAAGCATAGTTGGAGGGGAAGAGAAATAGAGAGATGCACATATTTTCTGGCTACTTGCCCTCTTCCAGGAATTGGAAGTGAACTCTCAGCTACCTCCAAAAATAAACTTTAAAAAACAAACTATCTGAAGAAATTAGAAATTCTTAAGCTTCCTGGGGATAACATAGTAAAGTAAAAGTTTCTTCCTTGTGAGAAAGAAATATTTTGAGAAATTATAAAGTGGATTTGAGCCCAACATTAAATTTTATGTTTCCTAGGTCTGTTCTTATTGAATATTCTCAGTTTAATATTAGTTAGTCCACAGTTCTTACCATGATTTTGACAGAGTCCATCAGCAACAAGTTCAGGTTCAGTTTTTGAGCAGATCTTGGCAAACACCGGGAGTTGCTTCTTTTGACCTGATCCTTGACTTTCTGTTATTGTCATAATTGGGGGTGGCCTTGTGATACTGTCTTTGTGGGGCACAGATCCAAAAACATTGTTTTGCAATAGATCCTTGATGAGCTTTGTTTCTTCAGTTATCAACTTACTGTCCAGAGTTTTGGTAGCCTCAACACGCTTAAGGGGGAGTTGAGCCAAGAGCTTGGCAATTTGAGTGTTGGAAGCTATTGTATTGTTCCCACTTTCTGTACTTTTGTTATTCTTGTGGATTAATTTTGCAGGGAGTAAAATGCCTGTGACAGTAGACTTGGTGGACAACTGGACATCACAAATAGACTTCAACTTCACTTCTCTTTTGTTTCCAGTGAGCGCCCTATAGACATTTTCCATTGTATCCTTCTCATCTGATGCCTGGTCCCCGTCAGAAAGCATGAGTAACTGCTTGCTATTTGGGGCCTTAACTGAAGCAACAGGGGCTACTTTCTCATCTTCAGATCTTTGCATTTCTATCTCTGTTGCATTCTCTTGGGTAAGGCTCAAATATTCTTGCTCAACCAGCTGAGATATTTCATCTTTGCAAATGCTGGCTTCCAAAGATCTATGAGAAAGAGAAAGAACACATTTGTATAGGATTGATTTATTAAGGGCTTCCTCCTCATCTTTCCACTGTGTGAACTCAGTTGCTAATTCAATTTAAACAATGTAACATACCAATAAATAAATAAATGACATGTTACAAATTAGGTAAGAAAATGGCTGTAGCTCAATAGCAGAGTACATTATTTTCATGCAAAAACTATCAGATGTTATCCTAGGGAATTTCCAGATACAGTTGGGGATAGTGTCTCGATGAGTGATTGCTAACACTAGAAGACCATGTTGGGTGGACAAATGGTCAAATTTGGTATACAGCAGCTTCCCACAATTTAGAAAATAAAGATAAAAACAGAAATCAAAACCCCACTACCAGAACAACAAAACAAATCTTTGTGAGAATTAAGTTTGCTGAGCAATAGTATTACAGTGGTATACTGTACAGGAGCCCCAAAACAAAATTGTTTGATATACAGATAAAAGTTACTCTTAGTATCACTTTTACTGGATTATTCTTAAAGTCTCCCATGAAGGATCTTTTCACCCAGCACATTTAAGCTGGTTCTGAATTAACACATTTTCAGGGTTTGCCCAGTCTATTGTGTTGCAAAATAATTTGCTCTTCATTGGCACATTTATGTATTTATCAGATTTTTGAACTGCCCATCTCCCTCAGTGCATGCAAACATGCTAAGCTTTTCACCAAATAGCCTGTTAGCCAAGATTATAAGTAATCTGGTAGAGCACAATATGTAAATGATGAGAAATAATAATAATAATAATAATAATAATAATAATAATAATAATAATAATAATAATAATAATAATAATAATAATAATAATAATAATAAAGTTGGAAGGGACCTTGGAGGTCATCTAGTCCAACCCCCTGCTCAGGCAGGAAACCCTATACCATTTCAGACAAATGGCTGTCCAGTCTCTTCTTAAAAACTTCCAGTGTTGGAGCATTCACCGCTTCTGGAGGCAGGTTGTTCCACTGGTTAATTGTTCTCACTGTCAGGAAGTTTCTCCTTAGTTCTAGGTTGCTTCTCTCCTTGCTTAGTTTCCACCTGTTGCTTCTTGTCCTGCCTTCAGGCGCTTTGGAAAATAGCTTGACTCCCTCTTCTTTGTGGCAGCCCCTGAGATATTGGAACACTGCTATCATGTCCCCCCTCGTCCTTCTCATCATTAAACAAGACATACCCAATTCCAGCAACCGTTCCTTATATGCTTTAGCCTCCAGTCCCCTGATCATTTTTGTTGCTCTTCTCTGTACTCTTTCTAGAGTCTCAACATCTTTTTTACATCGTGGTGACCAAAACTGGATGCAGTATTCCAAATGTGGCCTTACCAAGGCATTGTAAAATGGTATTAACACTTCGTGTGATCTTGATTCTATCCCTCTGTTAATGCAGCCTAGCACTGCGTTGGCCTTTTTGGCAGCTGCAGCACACTGCTGGCTTATATTTAGGTGATTGTCCACTAGGACTCCGAGGTCCTTCTTAAGAGTGTTCTCTTAAGAGAATCCAGACAAATTGTCAGCTGGCTAAATTAATAAAATAATTCAGTCAGAGTGGTAGGAGATGGTATCTGTGTGGACAATGGAACTACACTGCATTATCTCTCTGTTTCCTTGAGCTCTGGATCATAAGTTCCTGTTACATATTCAATATATTTTCCTCTGAGTAAAATTATCTTTAAGTTAAAGTGATTTCATGGACACGTCCATAAGGTTTTCTTGAGATTACAAGAATATCTATTGTTTTTCATCTTCCCAGTCTTTCCTGGAATTGTTTGTCTTCCACGTTGTCTGTATCCTTGGAGCATTTTGGAGGACTCCCATCTAAGTACTTACCAGAAAAATCCTCCTTAGCATTCTCCAACAACCATGGTTGCCTAGATATTGCCTCCCAGCTGGGCATTTTCCCTCTTAATTCATATTTTAAAAATTACAGTTTGATGGAAATCTTGAGAGAGGCTGGGAGCTACTGAAAATTTGCACAGATAAAAATGACTTCTTGTTGCAAAGATTAAATTTCAGCTGATTAGAAACTGAATTAAATGATATGGCCTGGAGAGAGGACTAAATGCTTTATTTTGCAGATTCATTCTGTGTTTTCTGATAACTTCTGAATGGGTACTTAATACAAAAACATTTGGGAGAATATCCTGGGGTCAAAAATGAATACGAAGAACTTAAAAGTATTTGCCAAAGGAAGGAATTCCATAATTAATAAGGAAAGCTGAACACAAATGGCCTTTCTGAATCCTCAAAAATTATAGATTAAGATATTTTGTTTTCAAAATTTACATTAGGTAAGGAGAAATTCTCCAATTATTGTCCAAGGACAGCATCTCCTCAGCAGTGGCAATAGTACAGTTACTCAAAAACTTTAACTTCCATCTTAACTCTGCTTTTGAGATTTAATACAAATGTGAGAAGCCAGAGAGGCTACAGATAACTGGAAAAATATTGTTCCATGAAAAATAAGACATACATAATCCTACTTTGCAAACAATTAAGTGAGAAGCTTATCAACTTCTCTGAAATGATCTTTGAAATGAGAAAACTAGTTTCTCTTTCATTAAAATTAAATAAGAATTAGTAAAAATAAAAAAAGAGAATGTTTCTGTCTACTACTTTGGATATGACTGGAGCAATAAGAGAAATACTTGTTGAATTATATTTCAATAAATCATGTGGAAAGAGAAGGAATCTCTGCTGAAACATAGTTCCCAGTCAACTTTACCAGTATTTCCACATCATTTGGGGCTTGTAATTATTCCTTGTACCTGGCTAATATAGACAGATGGAGCAGGAAGGGAGCACCTGGAAATTATTCCAGGGCTGCAGGCTAGACTAGGAAGTTGAAAAAAAAACATCCTGGAAGTAGGCAGTGGTCAACTATTGCTGTTAAGAACATTACTTGGATATGTTCATAAAGCTACCAGGGGTCAAGCTTAACTTTAAGGTGTCTTTACTGTATGTTAACTTGTAAATTACTTGAAACAATTCAAGCATACCTTGTAGTCACCAAAAATCTGAGTCCATCCCCACCAAATTTTTCACCTAAACTTCATGAATTAAAGGCTAGACAGCCTGTCAGAACCTCAATGTATTTCTTCCTTATGCTTTCCTTTTGGGGTTCTGCCATTCTATGGGGGGGAACCTATGAGTCTTCTGTAATGTACTTCCTTTGGTTTGTTCTATCCTCTTTGAAGTACCTTATTTGGGGGTGTGAAAGGAATGTGCCTCTGGCCATCTGCCTTATCTCAAGTCAGATGGGAAGAAGTTGGGGAGAGACCTGATACCATTGAGAATGGCACCTTATCGGTTCTTTCCCACACCATTTTTACCACCTGTGGATTGGCTTGATTCAATCCAGCCAGTTGGACATTTGGGGTGGGGTTTGAAAGGGCTCTTTTAATGTAACATTTCGTGCGGGAAATCCTCAGACCCTATCTAACTATCCTGCTATCAGTACCTTCCAATAAAAGTTCCTGTTGAGACTAGGCAAGTTTCAAGAGTTCTGCTTTCTTTGGAGGTTTAACTGAGTCAGTTCCTTATCCAGCCATAATTTATCTTCATTCGCTACTTTGATTGCCAACTCTAGAAGTTGTAATGATACCTTCTGGACAAATTTTCTGCTGGAGTTTAGTGATGAAGGATTTTCATTTTTTAAATTCATTTCCCTGAATTTACTTTACTGTAATTTCCAATTATTACTTGGGTATATATTAAACACAGGCAGTACAGCTCAGATTACATCCAGAAGGAGGAGACATTGGAGAATAAAATCAAGTGAATTGCTCTAGCAAAGGAATTGAGCCAAACATAACAGAAAAGGGCTAACCAAGTGTTCATGGTCAGTAATTAATCCTTTAGTTGTAAGTGTTTTGAGAAACCCAGAAGTCTTAGTAAGGATTTATAGAATGCTACCATCTGGCAACACAAACAAGTACTTGCTCCAAAATGCCAATCCAGCTTGATCACACACTGTCAATTGCCATTACCCAGCAGAATTTTTGTTAAAATTTTACTTATTTTATGATAAGCTCTGAAGACAGAACAGCTGGTATTGTAGCACCCATTGCATAAGTACTTATCTATATATATAAATATGATGCCAGATTTTTTAGTAAACTGCATATTACTTCATTATCTCTAATTATGGCACCACTATGTCATTAAAACAGCCTTTATTAGTTTGTAAATTGAACAGATTTTCTGTTCATTTTTATTCAAATAACTCCACAAACTGAGACAAGCAAATTGTTCTGGTTTTTTTTTTCCATATCTTATACAGCGTACACAAGATTGTAATATATGCCTGATCATCAAAAGAAAAGAAGGTTCTGCTTCATCCCTAAATTATACAGTTGCTCTTAACTAACACACACACCTCTTTTACCTCTAGATCTGAGGACTAGGACCAAATGAATTGCTGACATGGTGCTTAACTTCAGATGCCTAGATTGGCTATTCCCCTACCTTTGGTAGAGAGGCCTATAAAGAAATCATGTATAGGTGCAAAACTTCTATCTCTCTGCCTCTCATTCAAGGACTCAAAGTTCATTTTGTGTTGATTATTATACTGTATCTCAACTTAAGTAGCCTTCTCCTCTTTTACAGGTCACTGTTTTATGAAAGGTATATATACAATTTCTTCACTTCTACTAAAACACAGTGTGATGATGTCAAGACAACACAGGAGTGAATTTTTCATGGGGAGAGAGCAACACAGGTGAGTGACTCCATATTCCTTGTAATGTCTGGCTGTTTGTTTTTATTAGGAGCAGTGACATTATATCCTGTTCTTCCTTCATGGTGTCCAAGGTGAACGTCCCTTGCTTTATCATTACAAGTGTCTTGTGGATTTTCCCCAAGATGTAAGTTCTTCATCTCAAACTGCTTTCTAAGTGTTCCAACTTTGGAAATGAAATAGATAACCACCATAAAACTTTTATTATGCTTTTTTTTTATTTTTTGCATGGCAGAATCTT